GATATACATTCTTCTCAAGTGCACATGGAACATTCTCCAGAATAGACCACATACTAGCTCACAAAAAGAGCCTCAGTAAATTCCACAATATTGAAATTCTACCAACCAATTTTTCAGACCACAAAGGTATGAAAGTAGAAATAAATTCTACAAAGAAAACAAAAAGGCTCACAAACACATGGAGGCTTAACAACATGCTACTAAATAATCAATGGATCAATGAACAAATCAAAATAGAGATCAAGGAATATATAGAAACAAATGACAACAACAACACTAAGCCCCAACTTCTGTGGGATGCAGCGAAAGCAGTCTTAAGAGGAAAGTATATAGCAATCCAGGCATATTTAAAGAAGGAAGAACAATCCCAAATGAATAGTCTAAGGACACAGTTATAGAAATTGGAAAAAGAAGAACAAATGAGGCCTAAAGTCAGCAGAAGGAGGGACATAATAAAGATCAGAGAATACATAAATAAAATTGAGAAGAATAAAACAGTAGAAAAAAAATCAATGAAACCAAGAACTGGTTCTTCGAGAAAATAAACAAAATAGATAAGCCCCTAGCCAGACTTAAAAATAGAAAAAGAGATTCTATACACATCAACAGAATCAGAAATTAGAAAGGAAAAATCATGACGGACCCCACAGAAAAACAAAGAATTATCAGAGAATACTATGAAAACCTATATGCTAACAAGCTGGAAAACCTAGAAGAAATGGACAACTTCCTAGAAAAATACAACCTTCCAAGACTGACCAAGGAAGAAACACAAAATCTAAACAGACCAATTACCAGTCAAGAAATTGAATCATTAATCAAAAAACTACCCAAGAGCAAAACTCCCAGGCCAGATGGATTTACCAGAGTTTTATCAGACATACAGAGAAGACATAATACCCATTCTCTTTAAAGTCTTCCAAAAAATAGAAGAGGGAATACTTTCAGACTCATTCTATGAAGCCAGCATCACCCTAATATGAAAACCAGGCAAAGACCCCACCAAAAAAAGAAAATTACAGACCAATATCCCTGATGAACATAGATGCAAAAATACTCAACAAAATATTAGCAAACCGAATTCAAAAATACATCAAGAGGATCATAGACCACGATCAAGTGGGATTCATCTCAGGGATGCAAGGATGGTACAATATTTGAAAATCCATCAACATCATCCACCACATAAACAAAAAGAAGGACAAAAATCACATTATCATCTTCATAGACGCTGAAAAAGCATTTGACAAAATTCAACATCCACTCATGATAAAAACTCTTCAGGAAAATGGGCATAGAGGGCAAGTACCTCTAAAGGCCATATATGAAAAATCCACAGCCAACATCATACTTAACAACGAGAAGCTAAAAGCATTTCCTCTAAGATTGGGAACAAGACAGGGATGCCCACTCTCCCCACTGTTATTCAACATAGTACAGGAGGTCCTAGCCACAGCAATTAGACAAAACAAAGAAATACAAGGAATCCAGATTGGTAAAGAAGAAGTTAAACTGTCACTATTTGCAGATGACATGATATCGTACATAAAAAACCCTAAAGATTCCACTCCAAAACTACTAGAACTGATATCAGAATACAGTAATGTTGCAGGATACAAAATTAATACAGAAATCTGAGGCTTTCCTATACACTAACAATGAACTAATAGAAAGAGAAACCAGGAAAACAATTCCATTCACAATTGCATCAAAAAGAATAAAATACCTAGGATTAAACCTAACCAAGGAAGTGAAAGACCTATACCCGGAAAACTACAAGACACTCCTAAAAGAAATTAAAGAGGACACTAATAAATGGAAATTCATCCTATGCTCTTGGCTAGGAAGAATTAATATTGTCAAAATGGCCATCCTGCCCAAAGTAATCTACAGATTTAATGCAATCCCTATCAAATTACCAACAGCATTCTTCAACGAACTGAAACAAATAGTTCTAAAATTCATGTGGAACCACCAAAGACCCCAAATAGTCAAAGCAATCCTGAGAAGGAAGGATAAAGTGGGAGGGATCTCGCTACCCAACTTCAAGATCTACTACAAAGCCACAGTAATCAAGACAATTTGGTACTGGCACAAGAACAGAGCCACAGACCAGTGGAACAGAATACAGTCTCCAGACATTAACCCAAACATATATGGTCAATTAATATGTGATAAAGAAGCCATGGACATACAATGGGGAAATGATAGCCTCTTCAACAGTTGGTGTTGGCAAAACTGGAAAGGTACATGTAAGAGAATGAAACTGGTTAATTGTCTAACCCCATACACAAAAGTAAATTCCAAATGGATCAAAGACCTGAATATAAGCCATGAAACCATAAAACTCTTAGAAAAAATCATAGGCAAAAATCTCTTGGACATAAACATGAGCGACTTCTTCATGAACATATCTCCCTGGACAAGGGAAACAAAAGCAAAATGAACAAGTTGGGCTATATCAAGCTGAAAAGCTTCTGTACAGCAAAGGACACCATCAATAGAACAAAAAAGGCATCCTACAGTATGGGAGAATATACTCATAAATGACAGATCTGATGAAAGGTTGACATCCAAAATATACAAAGAGCTCACACACCTCAACAAACAAAAAGCAAATAATCCAATTAAAAAATGGGCAGAGGAGCTCAACAGACAGTTCTCCAAAGAAGAAATTCAGATGGCCAACAAACACATGAAAAGATGCTCCACATCGCTAGTTGTCAGAGAAATGCAAATTGAAACCACAATGAGATGTCACCTCACACCGGTAAGGATCGCCACCATCCAAAAGACAAACAACAACAAATGTTGGCGAGGCTGTGGAGAAAGGGGAACCCTCCTACACTGCTGGTGGGAATGTAAATTAGTTCAACCATTGTGAAAGCAGTATGGAGGTTCCTCAAAAAGCTCAAAATAGAAATATCATTTGACCCAGGAATCCCACTTCTAGGAATTTACCCTAAGAATGCAGCAGCCCAAATGAAAAAGACAGATGCACCTCTATGTTTATCGCAGCACTATTCACAATAGCCAAGAAATGGAAGCAACCTAAGTTTCCATCAGTAGATTATGGATAAAGAAGATGTGGTACATATACACAATGGAATATTATTCAGCCATAAGAAGAAAACAAATCCTACCATTTCCAACAACATGGATGGAGCTAGAGGGTATTATGCTCAGTGAAATAAGCCAGGCAGAGAAAGACAAGTACCAAATGATTTCACTCTTATGTGGAATATAAGAACAAAGGAAAAACTGAAGGAACAAAACAGCAGCAGCATCACAGAACCCAAGAAAGGACTAACAGCTACCAAAGGGAAAGGGACTGGCGAGGATGGGTGGGAAGGGAGAAGCCGGGGAAGAACAAAGGGGGCCTCACGATTAGCATGTATAATGTAGCGGGGCACGGGGAGGGCTGTGCAACACAGAGAAGACAAGTAGTGTTTTTCCAGCATCTTACTACACTGATGGACAGTGACTAATGGGGTGTGTGGGGTGGACCTGGTGAAGGGGTGTGAGTGTAGTAAATATAATGTTCCTCATGTATTTGTAGATTAATGATACCAAAAAAAAAAAAGCTAAAATTAATTTCACCTAAATAAAACTAAACAGAACAAAAAGAAACAATGCTTTAGAAATTTAACTCTGGCAGCTGTATTCTGTATCTTCATTTCTCCCTAAGGGAGAGAAAAAATAGCACCACTAGTATTACCATTGCCCAGCACTACACACACACACACTGAGTCAAAAACCAAAAACCAAACGAACCAGAAGGTGAAATTCTGGATAATGTAGCTAGTTGTTGTGTCTGTTTAATTTTTCTCTCTAAGTCTCACCTTCACCCCATCCATGTACTGTTTTATTTTCTCAGTTCTAGCGAGACTTCGGCTGCTTTCCATTGCCAGAAAGTGGGTGAGGGTGCAGCTGAAAGACGGGAGGAGGGATGGCTCCCTCTTTAGGTGGAGTCCAAGGTTTCCTGGGACGAGTCTATACTCCTGTGGCCTGGTCCCGGTGAGGTCCGGGTATTTAGTGAGAAAAAAGCAAAGTCTTTGAGACGACTAAAAGACAGAATTTAGGGGCTCCTAAATAAATATTTTATTCTAAGGAAATAAAACAATTTTAAGAAAGTTTTTCTCTTTTCTTTTTTGCTCTTGCAACTAGAAAACAGACTATTTCCAAATAAGCTCTTTCCCCCCTCACCCATAGAACTTGCTTTCCCTTTCATGCATTTTTCTATTAAAAGAAAATTAATTTCACCTGTTTCTTTTTATTTTTAATGTTATCTACTTTTTTTGGGTGTCTACTGGAAAATTCAATATTATGTATTTTTATTGGACAGTACTACTTTTAGACCAGTGCCAGGATATAGGGCTTAACAGGCTGTTATTTGCAAACGAGGATCTGCAGAAGGGCAGGAAGGGCTGAAATCAAGGCCAAACTCCACTCAACAAGACATGCACCCTGCCAGGGGGACTGTGTCTATTCTAGGGGAAAAAAAACTATTACTTCACTCAAAGGTAATATCCCTTACCAAACTGAGGGCTTTGTAGGAACTAGTGTCCTTTTTCTAATTTGTGAAGGCATCATATAAGCTAGCATAGCTCTGAGATGGAAGACCATGTCTCAGTCCTATTCCATCTGCTACAAACTAGTTTCTAAAAGTAGCTGAATGACGGAGTGCCCAACTGTGCTTACCTTCATCAGACACACCTCTTCTTAGCATATAACACTTTATTTGGTTAGAAAATAGAGTTCTCACTAGAGCTTTTAGCTTCAAGACTCAAGTTTTTAATTGTTTCTCTTCCAGCCACTATACCACCAAATCAAAAGTGATCAATTATTATATGGTATTTTTTTCACAGCTTTATACTTTCAAATAAACATCTGACCATTTCCATCATACTATGACAACACTTACATATTTGCTTTTTTAAAGGATCACTATAAAAATAAATACTGTAATACCAAAGGATCCCTAATTCTTTCCAACCAACCTGAATGCATTTCTCTTCGTGTCTCAGAATATTTGACTTTGGGAGATTTCACAATTTCAGAGGTGTTCACATCTACTGTTCTTAGTTTTCCTTTCGGACATGAGTCTGTACGATGTTGAACAATGTTTTTTTTTCCTTTTGTACCGTTCTGTGTAAATTCTTCACTATCGTTCTTGGGGCTTATTTTTGAATCAGCCTTCTTAGATTTGTATGAGGTTTTCATTTTCTGAATCCTGTCAGAGTTATCTAAATCAGTTTTATTTCCAGAATCCTTCTGATTAACTTTTCTGGTTTCTTTCTTTTTCTCAACTAGATTTTTTGACTCTATTTCATTTTTAGGCTGGATTTTTTTTTTCTTCACTTTCTTTTGGTTCAGTGCTTTGTTATTATCTTCATCAGATAGATCTGAATCAGAATCTGAAAGGTCGTAAAAACGTTTCAAATCTTCGGTAGTGCTATGTTTGATGGGGCGTCCTCTTTTATCCACAGCATAATTCAACTTGAACTTTTTGTCATGAAACATTGCTCGAAATCTCTTGTCAATTTTGACTTTTCTATCCTTTTCTGGCATTTCCCAAAATCTCGGGTCCTTTGTAACCCGCCTAAACCGCTGGTCACTCATTATTTCTTGTTTGGATGCCATTTCTAAATGTCTGATTGTACAAATGCTCGAAGAAACCAAATACTAAAGAAAAAAAAATAATGAACAGTTAGTAATATAACTAAATTGCTTTGGGAAAAATATTCACAATACATTCTAAGATAAATGTAAATAACTTGTAAAATAATAAAATGTATATAAAATAAGTCTAATTTCATTTCCTAAACTTAATTTGAGTCACATGCAGAAAAGCAGAAACTATGAGAATATCCTCTTTTGATTACAGAGCATTTGGAGAAATAAGCTTAAGGCAACACCAAACAGAATTCCTGGGCTTTATGGAGGGAGTGAGGAACAAATGCATATTAGCCAATTGCACTCAGAATTTCTGCATTTCCACTTATATACTTGTATGTCACAAGCTAATGTAATCAAAAGATTCCCAAACCTCAGTTGGTCTCACTAGTTTTTTCATTCTGGTCCCATTTTCTGTCAACCTACCTCATGTTTCTCTGAACTAGCCTCTCACAAGCCTAGTCGCCTAACTAAACAGATTAAAATCAATTCAGGTATAGCTCACAAAGTTCTCTTTAAATCTGACCATCCATCAAGAACCAGAAAAAGTCTCTCCCTAGTTCACAGACATTACTTCTTCCTACAATTTCTTCTGTAAAAAAACATATTAGAACGTGTGTGTATAATTAGTATTGTTCCCTTGAAAACAGTCATTCATTGATTTAGAATCTCTAGATTTGATTTGGGCAAAAGGCGCAATCACTGATTATTAAGAGCAAAAGGAACTGATCAAACACGGTAGTAGTGCTGTTTCAGCAAGACTTAATTGTAAAGCTGCTTTTCCCTTTAATTTTAAAACAACTTTTTACACATCCAAAAAAATCAAAGGTTTCAACGATGCATTTATACACTTACGCATGTAATCCTCCCAGTAGCCTTACGAAGGTTGCACTGAACATTTAGAACGAAAACGTAAGATAAACGCCAGATAATCAGTGTCGGAAAGGAGATCTCACCTCACCTCCGACTCCGCCCTCATCCCCATAACTCACCCTCCCATTCTACTCACCCTCTAACGCGGGGCACAACCTAGATGTTCCCAGAAGCGTGGTTCCTCCCCAAAGGTTTCGGACTTGGAAGTCCCTCGACAGGACCCTGAAGAGGACCACGGAGCCTGAGGAATAAGGCCGCAAAGGTAAGGAGGAAGGGCACACCCTCACGATTCAGGAGAGCCTGTCACAGACCAGTTTCCTCTCTACAGTGCTTCTCGACCCCGAGCCCACTCACCTCCTCCGAACCCTCTCCGAGCCTCACGTGGGACTCACTCCCACAATTCCCCGCGCGAGTCTCCGCCGTAATGGCACGCGAATTGGGCCAAACGACTTCCCTTTCCTTCCGTGAAGATCTGTGGAGGCAGACCCAAAGCCGCGGCTGCGCATGCGCACCAGGCGCGCCAGCCAGCGGCGTCGCGGGATGCTGCGACCCGCTGGGCTCTGGCTCTTGTGGCGGCGACCTCCGGCGGCGGGGGTGCCCCAGAAGACCCTTAGCCTCGGGAAGGCCGCTGCAGCCGTCTCTTTCCCGAGCAGCAGCTCGTCCAGGGCTCTAAATATCTTCGACCGGGATTTGAAGAGGAAACAGAAGAACTGGGCAGCCCGGCAGCCCGAGCCGGGGAAGTTTGACTACCTAAAAGAGGAGGTGAACGAGCGGGGCAGTGCGGGAGGGCTCGCTGAGCCCCGGCTTCGGGTCCTGGAGCCCCGGCGGCCGGCGCCGCCGCACCTCGCGGTGTGACCTTGAGCAGCCGCGCTGCGTGTCTAGGCCTCTACTGTAATCGCTGAAGGGCTGGGCTCGGATACTTGCAAGGTGCTATCATTCATTCACTCACTCACTCGCTCAGCAAATGCTGCTTGACTTACAGAAATGTCCTGGGCAAAGGAAGACTGCTGCTCTCATGCAGTTTGGTTTTATTCTTGAGGGAGGCGAGACAGTGAACAAGAATTGTAATCAGCTGAAGAACTGCCCTTATCTCATATATTCTAGTCCTAGTATATGAGGGGTTTTTTTTCATAATAAACAAAAGGTATTCTTATTAGGAATGATGTACAAGGCGGACTCTAGGAAAAGGCTTTGGTACCTCTTGCCTTCTTCTCCAAAAAGAAAATACACTTATGTTCTCAACTGCAAGTCCTAATAGAAACTTAGGGAATATTAGGTTCCCACATCTTTGTTCCTGCTAGGTAAAGCTGGCCTAGCAAATGCGGGCACCTACTTTATCACCTCTTTTAGATTGAGATGAGACCGGGAAGAGGAGGCGGGAAGTGTTGTTTCTTCAGATTTGGCTAAGTTTTTTCTAATTTGCAAATATTACTCAGAAAAGTTTACTCATTTAGGAATTACGCAAAAGTTGTTAATACTCATCAAATAATACAGTTTTTATTAAGTGACCTCTCATACATTGATCTGTAATAAACCCCCAGCTACCTAAGTAATTTTTTACTTTTGTATACCTCATGCTAGTATCTGTGGACAACATTGTGGCTTTTCATTCTTGCCACCTTACAGCCCATGGACAGTAAAGGCTAAGAAATGTATATATAAAGAATGTTAAGACTTGAAATCATCATATTGACTTCTGAACTAATTTGCTTCAGTTCGTTTCCTGGGATATTTTAATTTAGTGTTCCTAATCACAGTTTAAAAAGAAAAGTTGCTGTCCTCAAATTTTCAATTTCCTTTCAGGAAGTACTTATCAACATTTTAAAACCTAAGTAACCTGTGGATTGTTGAATACTGGAAAAAGAGAATTACTTCTCTGTTTAACCTACTTATCTTGTGTACATGTTGCCTTTTGTAATCCTTCAGGTTGGAAGTCGAATTGCAGACCGTGTATATGACATAGCCAGGTAAACAATGATTATCATAATAAAGTACAGTTAACTTTTGTCAAGAAACTGGAGAAATTGAATGCTAATATTTGATACTTGGAATGGCAGAATCTGGAAGAATTTAGTACCAGGATTTGTGATTTTAATCACTCTCCAGTTCTCTCCTTTTTTATGTCTGGAAGAGCAAGTGTTCTTTCCTTCATTGTTGCCTGAAAAAAGAAGGGAAGCACAACTCATAGCTTCTCTTTACACCTGAATGACTGATCAACTTGATTAGGCCATAAGCCAGTAATGGAAAGATTGCTCCAAAAATCGGAGCAAAGAATTGACAAATGTGAATTTTTGAGATTTACTAAACCTAACTTTAAAATTTGAACCGAAGTTAACAACAGAATCTTTTCCCATCTAACTAAAATAGAGAGTCTGCCTAGTTTTGCTCCTCAATTAGGTTATATGAGACTTTGGTTATTTATCTTAAATATTGTTAATGGTGATAGGGTGCTATGACAGTTATATAGAGGCAGATATGAGAAAACACTTTTGTCAGGTATTAAAAGATTGATGGATTCAGTGCTCTGTATTAGGCATAATGAAAGCTTTACAGATTCAAGTTCACATCTATGTGGAAGGAACCACAGTTAAATGATGGTTTTGCAGTAGAATTACACTGTGAAGTCAGCAAATCACTTTTTATGTTCTTTTGTTTAAAAGACACATTAAATTGTACCAACATGGGCTGAATTTATTAAAGCCTATAAAAAGGAATTTTTTGAACTCATAGATTCTTTCACATTTTTGGTATGTCCTTGGTACTTAAAAAGATCTTGGGATTGGTTAATGGTTAAAAAGAAAGCTTTTTTTTTAAGGAAAAAAATGCTTCATTGTTGCAAATAATCACCCCAATTTCATCTTTTATTATTTGAAGTTCCATTATTTAAAGATGTGAGAAGTAGCTAAATTCTCTATATTATAGTCATTCATTTGCCTGGATTTTACCCCCTATGATTTAATAAATGAAATGTTAAATTTTCCAAATCAGAATTGATTTTTCAAGCCTTTTTTTGTCATAGTATTAAGCAAAATACAGGTGTAGAGAAAGACCCATGATTGTGGCTGAAAGTTAGACTAACATTAACTCTGAATTATTAAAATTAATTTATTTTAATTTGAAGAATTAAATTGTTAAAAATACTAGTCTAAATGTTCATTCATGCACTAATGTTCTATGATTAGAAAGAGTAGTTTATATTGGCAATACTTAACTTCGGTTGATTTTTACAAAGTATTCCCATAGATTATTAAATGTGGTATCTGGAGTCTCAGTACTCTTACAGTTAGTGATAATAATAACTCATAAATAATTTACACTGAGCATTTATACAGTGTTAAATGCTGTACATGCACTCTTTCATAAAATTCTCACAATGATCATGAGGGAGGGTTTCCATTTTCAGGATGGGGAAACAGAACCAGTAAGATTAAATCACTTGTCAGTAAATTCTAATTCATGTCTTTCTGATTCCAAAATCTGTGTACTTGACAATGTCATACTGCCTGTGTTCACAGTCAAGATAGAAGGCATTAGGTAAATAAATGATTCCTTTTCACCAGTGGTTCTCCAGTTGTGTACTAGTATTCTATGTTTTGATGCAGGTTTTTTAACAGAAATTGAAAAGGGTCTCTTTTGGTTCTAATAGAAAAAATGTCACTCATGGATACAATATAAGTTTTTTTATCACAAATTTTTTTAGACTAATGGCCTAGAATTAGATGTGTATACTGATTTAGTGTGATATATGATATATTTTGAGTAGACAGCATAGCATAGGGTATAATAGTTCTCGTTCAGGTTTCAAACTGACTGAATTCAAGTTCTGACCACCACATAACTAGTTCAGTGACCTTGGATTAACTTACTTCACTCTGAACACTTAGCACACTGCTTTGGACCTGGTAAGATTTCAGTAAAAGTTATTATTTAGTTAGTGTTTTGTTTTTGGATTAACATGTTAATACTTCATGGTACTTCATATGATGATTTCAAAGTTATCTGCTGCCTCAACAAATTTGAGAAATAGAGATGATTTGTAAGTTCCTGATAAGTATGCCAAATATTTCCATGCTAATTTGCATTAGTGTCTTTTCATTCTTTATCTGGTTATACCATCAAATTGAAATATCCCCACTAAATCTGTTCTTCCAGTCCACATCATAGAGCCATGTTATGGAAAGCTGTTGGACTGTAAGGCCTTGTGAATGGCTGGACTAGACAGACTTGGTCTGTCTGGTATGTTCTCTGATAGAAAAGCCTACAATGCAGGACGAAAAAAGAAAGATGGTATAATTTTTTGAAAGTTGTGTTCAATAAAATACTTTCTTAAGAAAGATTGGTTCTTAATTATTGTATGGACTGTATCACTACAAACAAAGTGTAACCTATGCATCTACTTTTTAGAGATTTCCCACTTGCTTTGGATGCCGGTTGTGGAAGAGGTTACATAGCACAATATTTGAATAAGGTATATCTATTTGATTACTTAACTTATTTTGAGAAATAAAATTGGCTAATTTTAAGGAAAGACTTTCTTAATTCAATTTTATCTTACTTAGATATTGATTATATTAGAATTGCTAAGTAACTTTTTTTTTAATGGTTGAACCAGTGGGTATTTTGTATCCCTTAAGTATTTTTTTCTTAAAGTGGGTTTTCTTTCTTTTGAACCATTTTAAACAGTAGTTCCTACTGATAGAATGTCTTTAAATCTGTATAAGATAAATTGTCTTCATTCTCACTTTCTTCAGATGTTTTTGATAATTCACAATAAAACCAGATTGACATTCATTTGGAAAAAATGATTAAGCTAGGAGAAAACCACTAATGTCATCAGTTGGTTAGGAATCTTTCTGTGTGATTGAATTTAAGTAACCTCTATTAATACCGTTTCATTTTGCATTTTCTAATTCAGACCACTAAGACATTCATTTATAGTTTTAGGTTTATATATATGACACTGTGCTGGTCACAGATTAAAGTAGACTTTATATATGAAACCTACTTAGAAAAAACATATACAAAACACTGTCACGATAGCAGTAAATGCCGCAGAAATGGTACTGTGATTAAACTGCAACAGGAATTAAGGGAAAGGAAAAGTCAGTAGGGGTTCCGGTGGTGAAAAGCTTCTGAAAGGGCACAGAATCTGACTTGAGATTTGAGAAAAATTGGATTGGTGTTTTGTAAGCGTTGGAAGTAAGCGCACTGCAGGAAGAAAAACAGAGGTAGAATACTGAATGGTGTGATACAGTGATACTTAAGGAAGATTACTTTGGGGATGGTACAAGAAGGATTGAAGAAAGGAGTGCATAAAGAAACACATTAGGAGGCAGTGTTAAAGGCAATGCAGGCATGAAACATAAAGGCCTGCCACTCGTGGAAGCAGCATGATATAAAGGAAGGGATGTATGAGAAGGACCTAGTAGAATCCCCAGAACTTGACGGTGATCACATATGGTGGGCAGAGCAAATCCATTCTTCTAGTTGCTCAGGAGAGAAAATTTACTGATTGCTCTTGTGTCCTCCCCCCACCACATCAAATCCATAAGCAAATCTTAATTTGGATTTTAAAATATATTCATTACTCTACCATTTCTTCTCACTTTCACCATTGTTATATTGGTTCATATCAATTCATATTGCTGTAGCCTCGTTATTGGCCTCCCTGCTTTTACCCTAGGCCCTAACAGTTCATTCTCACATCAAAGTAATCCTTTTAAAACAAGTCAATTCATTGTCCTCTGCTCAAAACTTTTGGCCTCTTATCTAACTCAGTAATAATCCAGACTCCTAATCCATAAGGCCCTCAGTGACCTGGCTCTTCATCATGTCTCTGATCTTTTCTCCTCTTCCTATATTTTATTAAATATAGTTAAATATATTAAGTATAGGGCTGGTTGCATATATTTAAATATGTGTAACTCAGTATTTGTTATTAAAAGTAATTGTGTTCCATACTGGTTTTATGCAGAAAAATACCCTTGGAAAACTGAAAATTATAATTATCACTTTTTCCTTTAGCAATTTCAACGGTTGTTTTGTTAGCGGGTTTTTATTTATCTGTTTATTTGTTTTTATATTAACTGATAAATTTATTCCATTGCAGGAAACTGTTGGGAAGTTTTTCCAAGTAGACATTGCAGAAAATGCTTTGGTATGTAGCTTTTTAACTCCAGTAGTTTGTGATCTCCTGGTTTGATTTTTTAGTTCTTTTTAATATTTATTTCCTTCAAAATGAAAATAGCTTTTTTGTTTCTGATTATAAATATAACACATACAAAGAAGAATTAATACAGGAAATACAAAGGAGAAAGAAAATATTATCCCTAGTACACCAGAGGCAACCACTGGTGACATATTGGGCTCCACTTTTACAGATATATGACTGTCTCCCCAACACACAATTTTATACAAATGATATTATGCTGATGTGACATATTTTTCACAGGATATCATTCTTTTATATCAATGAATTATACACACATACACATACACACACACCATCTTTTTAAAGGCAGTATAGTATTCCAGTATATGAATATCCCATGGTTTATTTGGCTAAATTTCTACTGAAGGGCTCTTGTATTTCCAGTTTCTCTATAACCTACACTGTGATGAACATCCTTATATAAAGCAAATTGTGTGTTTGATTTATTGTCTCCCTGGGAGTAAATTCCTAATAGTGGAATATAGGGATTCATTGATGTTCATCATTAAATTTTTGATACACATCTCCAGACTGACAACCCTTAGGAAGACTGAACAACAGTGTTATATGAAAGTACTTTTTCCTCCTTTTCTTTGATAACACTTGGCCAGTTGTTTCTGTCTTTGTCAATCTGATAGGGAGAAAATAGAATCTTGTAATTTTTCTTCTGCACTTTTTTGATTATTAGTGCAGCCAAACATCTGTTGATGTCTATTGACTTGGTATTTATTTGTTTATGAATTTTGTAAGTAATTTGGATATTTGCCTCTACCTTATCTTTTATCTACTTTTGCCTTGGCATGTTCCTATCCTAGGTGGTTTGTAAGAGCTTGTTTTTTAGAGATATTAATCTCTCATTATGTATGCTGTAAATATTTTCCCAAGGGTGTTGTTTACAATTTTTTACTGCTTTTTAGAAGTTTTTGATTAATTTATCCTCAAATATATATCAGTCTTTTCCCTTAGAGTTTCTGACTTTTGAGTCATATTTACTTAGGAGTTTCCATCTAAGAGTTTAAAAATATTCACCCATATTTTCATCTAGTACTTTTATGGCTTCAATTATTCCACTGAAATGTTCAGCTTTCTGAGATTTCTTTTGGTGTGAGAATAGGTATCCTGTTTATGTTTTCCTAACAAGCCAGCCCCTTTATATAGCCGGTCCTAAGTATCCTTCAAAAAATACTTTTTGAGCTTCTCTGTGGCTCCTTTATTTTTTGCAAGGAATAAAACAGCTGAGTAAATACAACATTGCTGTTAACAATGATTGCTTTAGTAAATGACATTTTATATGAATGTATTTTTGAACTTCTATTTTTTAATCATTAGAAAAATACCTTAGAAACAGAAATTCCTACTATCAGTGTTTTAGCTGATGAAGAATTCCTTCCCTTCAGAGAAAATACATTTGACCTGGTGGTTAGCAGTTTAAGGTTAGTAAATCCATTTGAACTTTTTAAAACTGTGTGTTATAAATAGATAATTTATGCTATAAAAATTTAATATTATAGGGTAAAGAAAATGGATAATGGATTAAATTCTTGATAAAATTTCTTTTTATTTTTTTGAGTCATAAACTAGTTTTCTTGGTTTATAAAATATAAGACTTCTCTGTTAAACAGTTCTGGATCATGTGCTCCCTAGAGGAAACAGTATGATAATAGTATCTCAAATTTTCTTTTCCCCAGCTTTTCTCAATTTGCTAAATAAAGCTCATCTGTGATAGAAGGGTCTTTCTACCTGCTATACTTTAGTGTCCTGGAATTGATAATTTTAGGAGCAGAAGTTGGAAAGAGGATACTAGCTTCAGTAGTCAAATGTTAGAGCACCCTTATAAACTCATTCTGGTAAATGAGGAAAAGCTAGCATTTCCCTCAGCTTTATTTCTTCACATAATTACAAGGTTACTTTTCTTTCTTTGTGCCTTCTTACCACATTTATTACACAAACATGTATTATAAATGTTTACTGAATAGATTATAATAGTACAACCACTAAGCTAGATGCTTTGGGGGAATACAAAAATGAATTCAGACAAGGATCCTCAAAGAACTTTAGTCTAGTAGAGAAAATAAAAGTATCCTATGTTGTACTTCATTTCTCCTGTCTTATTATTATAGTCAGATAGATTTTCCTCAAAGATTCAATAGCTTTTGACAGCTGTTTTTAGGGTGACAGGTCATCACTTCTTGCCCAAGACTTTTCCAGTGTTAGCGCTGAAAGGCCCAGGTCCCATGCAGCCCCTCACTCTCAGGCAAACTGGGAGAATTGGTCACCCTTGCTGTTTTCTTCAGTGAGTTTACAGTTTCTTCCCTTCTTTTTAAGATATGCTGAACACATTTAGAAAACTATTCACATTCTAACATGAAATGAAAAACGTTATGGAGCCTTGGCCTAAGGGAGAGAGCCCTAGACAGGAAGTCAGAACCCAAGTTTTAACTTTTGCTCATCTGCTTGCTATTTACAAATATCTAATTCTATTGTTTTCAATTTCCCCATAAATATGATAGAGCTTATAATATGACCTCCTTAATTTTTAAATTATCTAATGATTTCTAGAAAACATTATGAAAGATAAATATGAGCTTAACATTAAATGGGTATTCAGTGCTATCCTGAAAGTCAGCATCAGAGGAAGCCAGCTCTCTGCCAGTGAGACCTGAGTGTCCTCTACACAGACCATGATTCTTGTCACATAGCACCACATGCTGGAGAGGGTAAACAGGGTTAAAAGATACTGTAAATTAAGTTTTAAGTATATAGAGCTGTGGGTTTCTGTTTTTTGATGATCTTAAAAAACTAGGATGTTTATCAGAAAACTCTTCTGAGTTAAGTTATTGTTGTGTAATACTATTTGCCTTTGGAAAATTGTAGATCTACTGATGAATTTTATGTTTTTCTAGGAAAGGAGGATTTGGAATACTATTTATCTCTAGCTTCATTGTTTGATTTAGTTGATGAGCTTCTTTAAACATGTCATCAGATGCTTATTTTTACTACTTTTTTCAAATAAGCTTTCAGAATAGTACTGTCTAGGTGAGATGCCAGATAGCAGTGACTTAGTTTACTTTTTTCTCCAGCTTCATTGAGATATTATTGATATATAACATATGTAAGTTTAAGGTATACAGTGTGATGATCAGATACATATATCTATTGTAACATGATCACCACAATAAGGTTAGTTAACCTCTCCATCCCTTCACATGATTATGCGTTTTGTATATGTGTGTGGTGGTAACGTTTAAGATCTACACTCTTGAAAACCTTCAAGTATATAGTACAGTATTGTTAATCATAGTACCATGCTATGCATTAGATCCCCAAATCTTACTTACAGCTGGGAGTTTGTACACTTTGATTAACATCTCCCCATTTGCCTAACCCTGTAGCCCCTGGCAACCACCATTCTACTCTTTTTCTATGAGTTTGGTTTTTACATTCTGTATATAAGTGAGAAAATTCAGTATTTGTCTTCCTTTGTCTGACTTATTTCACTTAGCATAATGCCCACAGGGTCTATCCATGTTGTCCCAAAAGGCAAGATTCCCTTCTTTTTTATGGTTGAATAATATCCCATTGTGTATATATCTTTATTCATTGATGGACACTAAGGTTGTTTCCATATCTTGGCTATTGTGATTAATGTTGCAACATGGGGGTGCAAATATCTCTTTGAGGTTGGGTTTCATTTCCTTATGTGCCTGGAAATGGGATTGTTAGAGCATACGGTAGTTCAATGTTTAATATTTTGAGGAGCCTTCACACTATTTTCCATAGCTGCTATACCAGTTTACTTTCCCACTAACAGTACACAATGATTCTCTTTTTTCTACATCCTCACTAGCATTTGTTATTTCTTATCTTTTGATAATAGACATCCTAATAGGTAAAAAGTGATATTTCATTGTGGTTTTGATTTGCATTTCCCTAATGGTTAGTGATGTTCAACAATTTTTTAATTTACCTGTTGGCCATTTTTATGTCTTTTTGGAAATCAACTTTTTATTCAGTAAAGAATAATTAGACAGTTAATTGTATCAGCAGAATGATATACTGTCACAATTTCTATCCACAATTGCTATTGTGACAGAAGGCAGGTTTACCCCTAGGAATATTTTCTACTTTAAAACTTGTATAAAAGTTATCAGTGAGTTTGAATAAGCAATTTCAAACTTCAAAATTAACATCCTTATTGTGGCTTATTATACTAGTGATAATTATACTAATTATGTGAATTAAGCTGAAATATGCATTTTCATATCTTAGTTTGCACTGGGTGAATGATCTTCCTAGAGCACTTGAACAGGTAAGAAACTTAATGTTAGTTCTAATAGCCTGTTATTTTATTTATTATTAGAAGCATATAGATGTTTCCATTTCTACACAGGAAGTTATAGATGTTTTATATTTTATACTTCTGACAATTGCAAATGGAAGCAAATGAATTATTTATTATTTTCTGTGGGCTGGATATACTTGGTACCCTTTGGTATATTAAGAAGTACATTGGGTGCCTCCCCACCTGCCGGGAATTTTAGAAATCTAATTATGGAGATGTTTTAAATATTTAATGAAAACTTTAAAACTTGTATAAAATGATATTGATATCATAAGACATTTTCTGTATAGGTTTCTTTCTTAATTGACTATAAATTTTTGTGGTAGGAACCTATTTGTTTATATTTGTATCTTTTCTATGCCTTACTCTCACAGAGTGCTAGGTAGATGTTTATTGGTTGATATTTATCAGTGGACAGGTAAGGGGTGGATAAAAAGCATTGTGTTCTAAGAAGGGAAGGAAACCACTGTGGCTTAAAATGCCTACAGAAGTTCAAGAGGAGGAATTACTCCAACAGGGCCTTAGACGGTAGGTCAGATTTGGAGTGGGAAGGCATACCAGGAAGGCAGAATCACAGGATAATCCGGTGGGAGGTATAAGAGCCTTTGGAGCATAAATGACAAAAGAAGCCTCTTTGGGGATTAATATAGTGCTAGAAGGGGGGCACATTGGGACCTCATTTAGGGGGACTTGAGCAACAGATAAAGGATTTGGAGTTTATTTTTAAGCAATTCAGAGCTACTGGAGAATTTTGAAGAGGAAAGTGACATGATTTACTTCTTGCCCAAGACTTTTCCAGTGTTAGCGCTGAAAGGCCCAGGTCCCATGCAGCCCCTCACTCTCAGGCAAACTGGGAGAATTGGTCACCCTTGCTGTTTTCTTCAGTGAGTTTACAGTTTCTTCCCTTCTTTTTAAGATATGCTGAACACATTTAGAAAACTATTCACATTCTAACATGAAATGAAAAACGTTATGGAGCCTTGGCCTAAGGGAGAGAGCCCTAGACAGGAAGTCAGAACCCAAGTTTTAACTTTTGCTCATCTGCTTGCTATTTACAAATATCTAATTCTATTGTTTTCAATTTCCCCATAAATATGATAGAGCTTATAATATGACCTCCTTAATTTTTAAATTATCTAATGATTTCTAGAAAACATTATGAAAGATAAATATGAGCTTAACATTAAATGGGTATTCAGTGCTATCCTGAAAGTCAGCATCAGAGGAAGCCAGCTCTCTGCCAGTGAGACCTGAGTGTCCTCTACACAGACCATGATTCTTGTCACATAGCACCACATGCTGGAGAGGGTAAACAGGGTTAAAAGATACTGTAAATTAAGTTTTAAGTATATAGAGCTGTGGGTTTCTGTTTTTTGATGATCTTAAAAAACTAGGATGTTTATCAGAAAACTCTTCTGAGTTAAGTTATTGTTGTGTAATACTATTTGCCTTTGGAAAATTGTAGATCTACTGATGAATTTTATGTTTTTCTAGGAAAGGAGGATTTGGAATACTATTTATCTCTAGCTTCATTGTTTGATTTAGTTGATGAGCTTCTTTAAACATGTCATCAGATGCTTATTTTTACTACTTTTTTCAAATAAGCTTTCAGAATAGTACTGTCTAGGTGAGATGCCAGATAGCAGTGACTTAGTTTACTTTTTTCTCCAGCTTCATTGAGATATTATTGATATATAACATATGTAAGTTTAAGGTATACAGTGTGATGATCAGATACATATATCTATTGTAACATGATCACCACAATAAGGTTAGTTAACCTCTCCATCCCTTCACATGATTATGCGTTTTGTATATGTGTGTGGTGGTAACGTTTAAGATCTACACTCTTGAAAACCTTCAAGTATATAGTACAGTATTGTTAATCATAGTACCATGCTATGCATTAGATCCCCAAATCTTACTTACAGCTGGGAGTTTGTACACTTTGATTAACATCTCCCCATTTGCCTAACCCTGTAGCCCCTGGCAACCACCATTCTACTCTTTTTCTATGAGTTTGGTTTTTACATTCTGTATATAAGTGAGAAAATTCAGTATTTGTCTTCCTTTGTCTGACTTATTTCACTTAGCATAATGCCCACAGGGTCTATCCATGTTGTCCCAAAAGGCAAGATTCCCTTCTTTTTTATGGTTGAATAATATCCCATTGTGTATATATCTTTATTCATTGATGGACACTAAGGTTGTTTCCATATCTTGGCTATTGTGATTAATGTTGCAACATGGGGGTGCAAATATCTCTTTGAGGTTGGGTTTCATTTCCTTATGTGCCTGGAAATGGGATTGTTAGAGCATACGGTAGTTCAATGTTTAATATTTTGAGGAGCCTTCACACTATTTTCCATAGCTGCTATACCAGTTTACTTTCCCACTAACAGTACACAATGATTCTCTTTTTTCTACATCCTCACTAGCATTTGTTATTTCTTATCTTTTGATAATAGACATCCTAATAGGTAAAAAGTGATATTTCATTGTGGTTTTGATTTGCATTTCCCTAATGGTTAGTGATGTTCAACAATTTTTTAATTTACCTGTTGGCCATTTTTATGTCTTTTTGGAAATCAACTTTTTATTCAGTAAAGAATAATTAGACAGTTAATTGTATCAGCAGAATGATATACTGTCACAATTTCTATCCACAATTGCTATTGTGACAGAAGGCAGGTTTACCCCTAGGAATATTTTCTACTTTAAAACTTGTATAAAAGTTATCAGTGAGTTTGAATAAGCAATTTCAAACTTCAAAATTAACATCCTTATTGTGGCTTATTATACTAGTGATAATTATACTAATTATGTGAATTAAGCTGAAATATGCATTTTCATATCTTAGTTTGCACTGGGTGAATGATCTTCCTAGAGCACTTGAACAGGTAAGAAACTTAATGTTAGTTCTAATAGCCTGTTATTTTATTTATTATTAGAAGCATATAGATGTTTCCATTTCTACACAGGAAGTTATAGATGTTTTATATTTTATACTTCTGACAATTGCAAATGGAAGCAAATGAATTATTTATTATTTTCTGTGGGCTGGATATACTTGGTACCCTTTGGTATATTAAGAAGTACATTGGGTGCCTCCCCACCTGCCGGGAATTTTAGAAATCTAATTATGGAGATGTTTTAAATATTTAATGAAAACTTTAAAACTTGTATAAAATGATATTGATATCATAAGACATTTTCTGTATAGGTTTCTTTCTTAATTGACTATAAATTTTTGTGGTAGGAACCTATTTGTTTATATTTGTATCTTTTCTATGCCTTACTCTCACAGAGTGCTAGGTAGATGTTTATTGGTTGATATTTATCAGTGGACAGGTAAGGGGTGGATAAAAAGCATTGTGTTCTAAGAAGGGAAGGAAACCACTGTGGCTTAAAATGCCTACAGAAGTTCAAGAGGAGGAATTACTCCAACAGGGCCTTAGACGGTAGGTCAGATTTGGAGTGGGAAGGCATACCAGGAAGGCAGAATCACAGGATAATCCGGTGGGAGGTATAAGAGCCTTTGGAGCATAAATGACAAAAGAAGCCTCTTTGGGGATTAATATAGTGCTAGAAGGGGGGCACATTGGGACCTCATTTAGGGGGACTTGAGCAACAGATAAAGGATTTGGAGTTTATTTTTAAGCAATTCAGAGCTACTGGAGAATTTTGAAGAGGAAAGTGACATGATTAAAAAGCTGGTAGGCAGGATATTAACTATCATTTCCTAACCACATACTATTTGCCAGTCACTACCCTGTTTTGTTTATGTGCTAAAAATTCTGCAAGATGTCTTTATTTTGTGGATTAGTTAACTGATGCTAGAAGTGAAGAGAGGCCATTTCAGGTCCAGGTCATGAGGTAAACTAAGCCTAGCTGGCAATGGCAGGAGTTAAAAGGAAGAGAGAGGTATTTAGGACTCTGCAAAGGAGAAATCAGCAGCTTGGTAACTAATTGGATCTGGTGATCAAAGAGAGGAAGGGTCAAAGCTCACCTTCAAGTTTTGTGTCTGGATGCCTGGGAGAATAATTAGTGAAATTGGGGAAAGAGTGGTAATGTTCAGATAAAGGGGAGAGAAAATGACAGCAAAAATATGGCTATAGGAAATGGGAGTTGGTTTGAGAATAAGTGTGTGTGTGTTGGGTGTGTTGGTGGGACGGTGAGGGCAGTGAGTTTGCTGAGACAGAGATATCCATGGCATAAACAGTTGAAGATGAGTTTAGAGTTCTGAGAAGGTGGTCTGGCTAAAGACAGAGATTGGAAAGTCATCCTTGTGAAATCCATGGGAATTGGTAAGCCCTCTGAGGTAGAGAGAACTGCAGAGGACTGAGGAGTACATCTGAGGTACTTTCTATCCTAGAGTTTGGTCACAAGAGAAAGGAATTAACACTAATGGGGCAGAAGGGAAGAAACCAAAGATTTTACAGTTGGCTGCTTATATACTGTTTGTAATTGCTTCATGATTTATTAAATACAAATTCAAGATGGATACTTTGATTAGAAGAGCCTACTGTGATTTGGGTTCTGGTTTACTTTAGAATCCACCCTATCCTGTAATGGTCCTCATTGTTGAGAATAGTCAGAGTCAAACTAGTTACAGATTGTAGTTTTAATAGAATCAGTGAAGAAATGTTTGTGGTTCTGAAATTCATTGCAGCCACTATTTTGCTCAAGTTGTCAATTAAAAATTGTTTTTGTTTTAAATCTGGAAAGTAAGTTAGTTAATTTTTCTTTGAAAAAAACTAAAGTGTTAGTTGGCAAATGTTGTGAATCATGGTTTCTCTGTTAATTAGCTTTTTTTGCATAACAAGCCACCCCAACAGTGATTTAAAACAGTTTACTTAGCTTATGATTTTGTAGGTTGGTATCTTGGGCTGACTTAGTTAGGAAAGTCTTCTGAGTCTGGCTTGGCTTACCCTTGTGTCTGTGACCCGCTCTAGATTGTGTAGGATGGCTTCAGGGTACATCCTGGCTGATCTCCATCTCTCGTGTCTCTCATCCTTCACCAGGTCAGCTCAGGCATGTTCACAGCGTGGTGATGGGTCAGGGCTCCAGCAGAGCAGATGGAAACACAAAGGCTGTACGAGACCTCAGCTTGACACTGACACACTGTTACTTGCACTCGTTTTTTTGGCCAAAGCAGGTCACAGGCTTGCCCAGATTCAAGGAAAGAGGAAGTAGACTCCATCTCTTGATGGGAGTTGTTACAAAGTGACATTGTACAGGGCACAGATACAGGGAGGGTTGTGAGTTTTGAAATCTACCATACTTAAAAATTTTTTTCCTCCAGTGTTTTTTGATGATTAAAGTAAGTTGTGTCTATTATTAGGAAATTTGAAAACATACAACATATTTTATAGATATTAATACTATCAATGAATGTATTGTCAATCCTAACTTTCAGTGCCTGATACTGGTTGTCTTAGATGTTATTTATTAAATTATCTGATTATTAATTGACAAAATAAGAATGATAATCACAAAATATTGATTTAGACATTATATATTTATTCTTCTAACACTGTTACATGTAAAATTTTGAATAGCTTTGTTATTTTGTATTTATTACAGATTCATTATGTTTTAAAACCAGATGGAGTGTTTATTGGTGCGATGTTTGGAGGTGACACCCTCTATGAGCTTCGGTGTTCGTTACAGTTAGCAGAAATAGAAAGAGAAGGAGGATTTTCTCCACACGTTTCTCCTTTCACTTCTGTCAATGACCTAGGACATCTGCTTGGGAGAGCTGGCTTTAATACACTGACTGTGGTAATTATCAGGAGACTCAAGTAACCCATTTTTACATAGCAGAGAAACAACTTCTCATTTTAAAGATAGAAAGCTAGGTATTGATAGTATTACAGGAAGGTCTTGGCACTTTGTCTTTTTTAATTTGGTTTGTATAAACACATTTCAATTAACAGGTGGGAATGTAAAATTTTTAGTATTTGTTACTTGAATAAGTTCAAAAAAAATGTACTTCAGTTAACAAGGAGGCTATTTTCTACAACTTCCTACTCTATCAGATTCTTCAAATTCAGGGTTAAGTCTAATATGAGCAGACATTCCAGATGATAGGGAAAGGGGGGTATACAGGAGCATTTACTGCATTGCCTCTACCACCAGCCCTTAGTTGAAATAGTGCTCTGAGGCAGAAATGAGAAAATGTGCATTCACAAAGCCTGCAGTTAGATCAAGGGTAAAGAAGGTAAGATGGGGCTATACTACATACATTAAGCCTGGAGTGATCTGGGAAGAGGACTTGTAGGCTATCAGGGCAGGAGAAACATGAGTCAGCATGTTACAGTGATGGTGTCTGATAGGTACAATTTTGTTCCTTGCCCTTTTACTGGCTAGGGGATGTTGGGGGATTTATTTCACCTCTCTGAGCATTCATTTCTGTAAAAAATGAAATGTTACTCACCTCAGGCAGCTGTGATTATTCAATAAGCTAAAGGGTATATAGTGCCTGGAGTATGGTAGGTGCTCAATAAATATTAGCTCCTGCCTTTCTCACTCCTGCATCCTCTACTCCTAGCACTTTGATGGCCAAGGCTTCCAATAGGGAGTCATCTGGAAAGCCTGTGGTTGTCCTCTTCCAACTCCTATCAGTAGCAAAGTTATTCTGAAGGATGTCATTACTACCTTCAGAGATCAGTATTCAACTTGAATAGACTTGCTATGATTTTCAAAACCCCTCAGGCCTAGAAACATTTCTAAACCTGATAAGAGGAAATAAGAATTTCCTGATGAAGAAAGCATCATACGGTATAATTAGAGATGATAGGCTTAAAATTTAAATAATTGGTTACAGAGATTTAGTGTGAACATAATTCATAAAATCATCCAACCCAATGGATTGTTATACTCTTCCTTATTTAAACAGAAATCAAGGGGCATAAATCAGCAGGGCTTCTGATGTTGGAAAAGGACTTCAAGGGAAGGGAAGGGAACTAGTTCAGGAACTACCAATAACATTTCATGATTTCACGACTGTGTCTTTTGTAAACTTCTAACTGGCCTGAATCAAAAACTGCATTTTGAGATTTTGGGCAGCTGGAAATGGAAAAACTCTGCTTCATGCAAGGGTTCTGCTTAATTAAAACAAATGCTATTAATAAAGGCAGTTTTACATTGAGGGATCATTATATATTTTTTAACATATTTTTAAGTATATAGGTAGTAACAAATATATTTTGCTTGTAAATATGGAACTGTACAGATGAAACGCAGGTCATTTCCCCTTAAACCCTAAAATATTAGCTCTTTCCTGAGAGGAACAGTTCTTAAAAATGTTGCTCTTAGGACCCCTCTACACACTTAAAATTATTGAGGACTTAAAGCTTTCTTGTTCATATGAGTTACATCTATCAATATTAACGATATTATAAATTAAAATGGAAGTTAGTATTTAATTCATTTTAAAGTAATAGTAATATGTCTATTACATGGCAACATAAATAATTATTTGTGGGAAAAAAACTATTTTCCAAAAAGAAAAAAGCTGAGAATGTCATTGCTTTACATTTGTACAAATTTTTTTCACGTATGATACAATAAAAGAGCTAGATTCTTATGGCGGCTTCTGCATTCACATCAATTTCAATATCATGTCATGTAACTTCTGAAAAATCCCATTGTATATTCATGAGACATTGAGAGGTGAAGGAAAGGTCAAACAGAATCTTAGTATTATTATGAAAATAGATTTGACTTTGTGGACCCCAGCGCTCTCCAAACCACACTTTGAGAACTCCTGCCCTAGAGGTAGCTCTTAAGAGTGTGGTATGTAATGTTCCAGCTTTTTTTTAAGCAAGAAATACTTTACCATACTATTTACACGCACACATATACGTACATATTTCTGAAACTTATTTTTCGGTCTTAACAGTATATTTTAGAGATTTTCTGGTTCAGTATAGATATATTTGCCCTCCTTAACATTGGCATATTATTCCCTAGTATGAACATACCATGGTTGCATTTAACAATTTCCCTAATCAATTACATTAGATTTGTTTCAGTTTTGTCTTTTTTTTTTTTGCCATCATTAGTATACAATTACATGAGCAACATTGTGGTTACTATATTCCCCCCATTATCAAGTCCCCACCACATACCCCATTAGAGTCACTGTCCATCAGCATAGTAAGATGCTATAGAATCACTACTTGTCTTCTCTGTGCTATACTTCCTTACCCGGGACCCCCTCTACATTATGTGTGCTAATCGTAATGCCCCTTATTCCCCTTCTCCCTCCCTTCCCATCCGCCCTCCCCAGTCCCTTTCCCTTTGGTAACTGTTAGTCCATTCTTGGGTTCTGTGAGTCTCCTGCTTCCTTCAGTTTTTCCTTTGTTCTTATACTCCACAGATGAGTGAAATTGTTTGGTACTTGTCTTTCTCCATCTGGCTTATTTCACTGAGCATAATACCCTCTAGCTCCATCCATGTTGTTGCAAATGGTAGGGTTTGTTTTCTTCTTATGGCTGAATAATACTCCATTGTGTATATGTACCATATCTTCTTTATCTATTCATCTACTGATGGACACTTAGGTTGCTTTCATTTCTTGGCTATTATAAATAGTGCTGAGATAAACATAGGGGTGCATATGGCTTTTTGAAACTGGGAAACTGCATTCTTAGGGTAAATTCCTAGGAGTGGAATTCCTGGGTCAAATGGTATTTCTATTTTTAGTTTTTTGAGGAACCTCCGTATTGCTTTCCACAATGGTTGAAGTAGTTTACATTCCCACCAGCAGCATAGGAGGGTTCCCCTTTCTCCACATCCTTGCGAGCATTTGTTGTTCCTATTTTTTTCTATGTTGGCCATCCTAACTGGCATGAGGTCATATCTCATTGTGGTT